ATTTTCTAAATCTCTTTGTAACCTTAGACCACTGAACCTCTCCATTTTCTTCCCGACTCAACCTTCAACTTTCTTTTCTTCTCCTATTCTTCATTCAACTGGACAACCAAAAGGCAGCAACCAAAACCGGTGCACGGATATGCGTGGTTAATGGTTGTTCATACTGAAACTGAAAACCCTTCGTCATTCGACTTCCTCACGCCTTCATATGTGCTTGTCTTCTCACATTCAGAAACTCGGTCAATTACGGTCGATGTTCGAAATACAAGACTCACGAAAACGCGCTTTGTTTACCTTTCCTCAGTGTGGCTCAGCTGTAATCAAGAAATCTGCTCACAACCTCGCAACATGATCTTGGATGACTGTCACGCTCTGGGCAAATAATTGTTCCGTTATCCAAATTTATCCCGGGGCCAAATAGATGTAAGATAGACAGAGNATTTCATCTTAGGTCTGAACTGTATTGAGAAGGTTCTTGATTTTTGCCAATGCGCATGTATCGACGGATCATGAAATGAATGCATTTTTATGCGATGTATTTAAAATTCCTATTGGCTTTGAGCATTTGGGTGTGGGTAGCGGAAGGGGCACGATGTGTTATACATGAAAAAGTACAACTGATCACAGATAATGATAGAATATAGAAATGCTTGATTGCCGTTACCCAACGCGATTGGCTTCAGTTTTTACTACTGATCCAATCTTCACTTCGATCTTTTATCCCAATGGGCAATCAAAAACAGTAACCAAAACCGGCTCAAGAAAGTGCATGGTTAATGGTTGTAAAAACTGAAAAAAACTGAAACTTACTACTGATCAACTATATATCTAGTTTGATGAAACACTCTGTTTACTTTTGCTACCGAATAGAGTGAGCAAAACTCTGTATGCCACTGGAAAAGAAGAAAACCTTATCTAACGAAGCTGACCGAGTCGATCGGATTACTATTTTTTAAACACTGTTTTCCTGTCACACAACAATCGACAGCACTGTAAAGCCTACTCTGTTCAATATTAAATTTCCAATGCTCTCGAAAGCAACTGCATATAAACGTTCGCGTGGGGGCTAAATATTCGTTACAACAATTCACCATCAATACGTTGAATGATTTGCTAATGTTTCAGAAAGATAGGGTCACCTGTAGACAGCAGCTGTGGAGAAAAGGCAATTGATTATGGACTCAGCAATAATGCTCGTCTACGATGAATAAGGTTTTGGGGGGTCAGAAAAAAGGTCGGAAAACGTGTATCATTACCGGAATCAAATGGGTCTGGTTTCACTTAACAGCTGACCGAGCAAGCTAATCGATTCCCGATCTCTGCGTGTTGGCTCCTCTTCAGCTGAGTATTAGATCAAATACCATTTTGGACGTGATCTCAAGTTCAGCTTTACGCTGATCAACATGACCATGGTGATCACAGTTCAACATCACTGCATTCTGAGGTCCAAGTTTTACTTCAAATTAACCTATTCCGTCTTTCTACCTTTTTTCAACCAATACGACTAAACAAAGTGATGCAGGTTTACTAGTCTCTATTCAATTAGTTTGAAATGTCAGAAACACGCAATTGTGGAGCATCCATTCACGTATGAGGATAAAACTTTGAGCATCTCAACACTCGGGCTGATTTCTTTTTGGCCAAGTGATATGACCAAATGTTGTGAATGAACTTCGGGGGTTAGCCCAGTTTTCGCTTCTGACTTGACCTCTGGTGTTGTATCCTAATATCTTCTTGCATGAAAATCAATTTCATTTCGAAAAAAGATCCCAGTGATATCACCATATTTTCACTAACCACCAAATTCTCTCCTCTAACATCTCCCACTTTATACTGTATAATACGTTTCATTTCTTTTGTCTTCGAAAAATCCCACCAGATTGGCTATTATCTGGACGAAGAGCACGAATGGGGTCTGAATGTGGATCAGCTTGAAGCCACGTTAAAAGAACATTCGAAAAATTGCTTCCCACGCGCATTGGTTGTTATCAATCCGGGCAATCCGACCGGTCAGGTGCTTCCGGAAAAAGTGATCAAACGGGTGCTGGAATTTGCTCATCGACACAGTCTGGTGGTCCTCGCGGACGAAGTGTACCAGCACAATATCTACACTCCGGATCGGAAATTTGTCTCGTTCAAACGGGCCCTACATGATATCGGTGGAGCGATTGCGAAAGAAGTTCAATTGGCCTCATTCATGTCGTGCAGCAAAGGGTATATGGGCGAGTAAGTCAAAACGATAAGTGTTGTTTATTTCATCCGTCTCTTTTAACGCTTCTTCTGTCTCATCTCGGGATTCCATTACTTGACAATCAAATACTTTTTCAGTAAACATGAACGCTGTAGAAAAATGGTAAAAGGGATGTGTATAGAACCATTGAAGGGACTGTTTAGTTTTGAATGCACATATCTATTTAATGAGCATAGAATCCACTTCCTCGATGTTTTCATTTTCCAACATGAAGAGACGAACCTGTTTCTATGAGTAAATGACTTCTAATAGGGTCTGGCGGAGTGGTATGTTTCCACGTTTCATTAATTATACTTCTCCGTTTTGTAAATACCGAGGCTATCAGCACCAATAGCATAGAGTGCAGTGGTTTCCATGTGCTGTATTCATAATTACCATAGTTGGAGGGTTTGGTTTAAGCAGCTGACTTCACTGTATTGGATGCGCATAATA